CCAAACATGCTCAATTGGTGAGATGTCCGGTGAGTATGCAGGCCATGCAAGAACTAGGAAGTTTTCAGCTTCCAGGAATTATGTACAAGTCCTTGCGACATGGGGCTGTGCATTATCATGCTGCAAGATGAGGTGATGGTTGTGGATGAATGGCACAACAATGGGCCTCAGGATCTCGTCATGGTAGATCTGTGCATTCAAAATGCCATAACACAAGCCCGCCCATACCATAACCCCACCGCCACCTTGGGCCACTTGATCCACAACGTTGACATCAGCAAACCGTTCACCCACACAACCCCATATACGCGGTCTGCCATCTGCCCTGTACAGTGAAAACCAGGATTCATCCATGAAGAACACCTCTCCAAATTGTCAGACACCATCTAATGTGAGCATTTCCCCACTCACGTCAGTTTCTACGACTAACTGCAGTGTGGGATGGCAGAGAAGGGCGCCCCCACTTGTCCCAGAGACGGCCCATAGAAAAGAACCCCCACTCAAGTCAGTTACGATGGCAAACTGCGGTCAGGTCGAGATCCCGAAAGAGGACGACGAGCCTGCAGATGAGCTTCCCTGAGATGGTTCCTGACAGTTTGTGCAGAAATACTTTGGTTATGCAAACCGATTGTTGCAGCAGCTGTCTGGGTGGCTGGTCTCAGATCTTGGAGCTGAAGATGCTGGATGTGGAGGTCCTGGGCTGGTTGGATGTACTGCCAAATTCTCTGAAATGCCTTTAGAGACGGTTTATGGTAGAGAAATTAACATTCAGTTGTAGTGGACCTAAATTTATTAGTTATGCATTTTAATAATTTATGAGAATTGATACCCAATTATGAATTATTCATAAAATCAGAATTTCCTCGTAAAGGGCACCACCGGAGTTGTTATAATCCTAGAGTCTCCGGACCTCTAGGTAGTTTTGAATAATTATACAATTATTACTAGTGATCAGTTAGTTAATAATCGCTCAATTATCTTAAATCAGTCAGTCAGTCTCATATCTAAAGGGTCAATTCTCTTGGCAGGAACTATAAATAGGCAACACACACAGCTCTTGATTATATTACAGTGAATTTATTCTCTAACTAAGGTGATAAAAAGATGGTTGGATACAGGGAACATAAACATTTGCTGAACAATGAGCCTGGAGGTTCGATTGTGGGAAGCATTTGACTCATACGGCATAGAAGAGCTACTGAAAGTAAACTAATGCTATAATTTAGGAGTTAAAATGGACGTCTGATCACAGGACGTGTGTTAAGTCTTACTGCTTGTCGACAGCCTGCTTTTGGCCTGTTGCACGGGTCCCACTCTAGCTGCCGATCCTGGCTTTTTGCTAGGGATTCCCCGGGGTTCTCCGTGTCCGATTGAAAACGCCTCCTCCGTCTGGCAATTCGGCTGTTTTCAGGTTTCCTTGGTTGTAGCTGGCGAGACCACGTGGCTTGGTCTGACCTCGGTGAAGTTGGCTTGACGAAAAAGGCTTAAAATGGAACTTGGTCGTTCCTGAATTAGTCCAGTGTAACTTAACGGACTGATAACTTTAACAAACAAAAGAAATAAAGAAAATAAAACAAACTGAAGGCAGATCGATGTCTCGGCACTTCAGGTGTGTAGCTTCAGGCGAACAAAAGGGCCTGTTTGTTTCACTGGCTGAGTCTGGGCGTGTTGCCTGGTGAGGCACGCCACGCGCGTGCCGAAGCGTCCAGAGGGCAGAGTGGAAGAGCGAGAAGAGGGAAGAGACTGGCGAGCAGGTCGCATGTCGCTCTTTTGTTGCCTGGGCCGTGGTTCCCCAGGGGGCGTCTCAGGTTTCCCCAGGGACTGCCTTTCTAAACTTAATGTCTAAAGAAAAGAAATCTATTTGCACGTTTTATAATCAAATATTTTCCACAATCGAACCTCAATGGTTGAACGGTTGTACTGTTCTAAGCATTTGGTAACAGGAAACAATTGTCACATTATTGGTCAGGATATTTGTACATTTAACGGCATTTCCTACGAGGGCATGTAACACTTACTTCGTCCACTTGGGGGAGCTCAGGTTACATGAGGAAAGCTTGGATTAAAATCAAAGATCGTCTCTCCTTAGGAACCGGGGAATATTGTTGATTCATCCTTAAATTCAAGCTGGCGATTAAGAGTATAGTAAAACATTTCTTTGTTATCATTTCTAAAGGGATTTTGTAAGAAAGTATTATGAACAAGCATTGATTACATTAGATGAAGGAGTGTCTTGCTGAAAATAAAAACACTGCACAAGTAACTTCTTTTCAGCACTAATATCAACAACAGATAGCAACAACAGTTAACATAACTACTCAAATAGAGGCAAACATATTCAGGTAACTAAAGATTTAATTAAATTTAATTAGATGCTTTGAGTATTTTGGAGACTGCAGTCCTTTGTCATCCAAAGTTCAGTGTCTGGAACATGTCACACTTAGGTGAGACAAGGAGTATCCTTTTGATGTGGTAATAAAACAAAGAATAAGGTCAGTTTCCACGGAAACATGTGTGGTGGGGTGAGTTTTGATAGGCTGTTCAGGGAGATGCCAATGGCTGGCTCGTGTCCCTTTGTCAGTTTAACAGTCAGGCCCCGCGTTATCAGCTTCGGAATCAAAAAGGTGCCAGTTTTATGGTCGGGCTAGCACTTAGAGAAAGGAACTTTGACCCCTCCCCATCTTCTCTGGGAGGAGAAAGGAATTTAGGGTAGCTCCACATTTATTCCATGAAAAATGCACAAATCCACACTGTTGTTCACTACACAGTTCACGGGCAACAGCTCTGGTGGACATTCCTGCAGTCAGCATGCCAACTGCACATTCCCTCAAAACCTGAAACATCTGTGGCGTTGTGCTGTGTGATGGAACATTTTGGAGTGGCCTTTTATTGTGGCCAGCCTAAGGCTCACCTGTGCAATCCCCATGCTGTCTGATCAGCACCTTGATCTGCCACACCTGTGAGGTGGATGGATTATCTCAGCAAAGGAGAAGTGCTCACTAACACAGATTTAGATAGATTTGTGAATACTATTTGAGAGAAATTTTGTTCAGCTCACAATGAATGTGAGCCTAAACAAAAGTGTTGCATTTATAATTTTCTTCAGTGTAAGTACATCTCTGTAAACGTACTCCTACCACTCCTTTGATATGCCTTTCACAACAACAAAAGTTGATAAATCTGAGCTTTTGAAGCTTTTTAGCCCTTTTAGTCTGAGACAACACGTTAAAGAGGCCTCCCTATCATGCTGTGTCAGAGGCTCTAGATATAATTTGGAACCCTGTTGAGGAGGAGAGAGACCAGGAGGAATCTGCAGAAGAAAAGGATTTTCTTTACTTGGGTCTGTTGATGCTCGCTGGTTCTAATCCAGTGAAGAAGCCACGGCCAGTTTATAGCATGCCCAGGCATACTTTCATATAAATTAAGATTTTTTGACCCTGACTTCCATAAAAAAAGTGTAAAACTAGTGGGAATGATTTGGAAAGAAGTTGGCTAAGAAGGTGTAACACAGAATTGAGTGATAATTTTTCATTATGCTTTATAAACAGAAAAACCTGACCGGGTCAATTTTGAGGACAAAAAGTCTGATTATTTGCTGCCATTAAAAATAATGAAATGGTTTCAAACCAGTATCCAGACTAAACTTTGACATATACAAGTCTGCGATAACCCATCAACATATAGTCCTCTGATCTTAACTGTTAGTCAAAAGAATTCATAATTTATGCTTTTTTTACCTTAGAAATTTGGTGTAGTTTCATATATACGAGACATATTGACCATGAATTCCACCAAGAAGTGTAAGAATAGTGGTAATGAGTTGGAATGAAGTTGGCTAAGAAGGTGTAACACAGAATTGGGTGATATGTTAAACTGGATGCTTTAAGAGCAGGCAAACCAGACCGGGTCAACTTTGACCTGGGATGACAAAAAGTGGTCGACGGGAAGAAAACACAAAGCAGGCTGAGAGTTTAGCAAATAATTGAGTAAACAATTATTTTTTTGTCTTTGAAAAGAGAATAAAAACAGAAGTACTCTTACCATAATCTACACTTTCTAGCTAGTCTGTACTCGGGTCCATAACAATATTTGGGTCCACAGAGTTTGGTTATGTCTGAGGCAGCTTATTAGCTGGAAACCCCAAAAACCCTCGGACACTACAGAGAAAGCAGGACATGTCTGTCCGCAGGCCACTTTGATCCAGTTACAGTCCTGTGCGTTTACAGGTGGACAGAGGCTCCTGCAAATCACTTGGGCGCGAGATTTAAGACCACTTCCTTCACTCTGTTCAAACTCACTCTCCTTCTCTTTTCACTCAATTACCTACTCATTTCTCACCGTGTAAATAGTGTTTACTGAAAATCTAAAAACAAAGAAAAAGAAAACAGGATGTTACAGTGCAGTGAAAGTTACTAATCTACTGCTTTAAAAAAAAAAGGTAAAAAAGTATTCAGTCTTAATTTAAAAGTACAGTTTCAGCAGACCTGCAGTTATGTCGGAGTTTATTCCAGATATACGGAGCATAATAACTGAACGCTGCTTCTCCTTGTTTAGTTTTGACTCTGGGGACAGAAAGCAGACCTGCCCCAGACGACCCGAGAGGTCTGGATGGTTCATAACAAAGCAGAAGATCAGAAATGTATTTTGGCCCTGAACCATTTAGTGCTTTATGAACTAACAGCAGGATTTTGAAATCAATTCTTTGACATACAGGAAGCCAATGTAAAGACCTCGAGCAGAAGCGTTCTGAATCAGCTGCAGCTGTCTGATGCATTTCTTAGGGAGCCCTGTACGCTGTTACAGTAGTCGAATTGACTGAAGATAAATGCATGGATAAGTTTTTCCAGGTCTTGCTGAGACATAAGTCCTTTAATCCTCGATATATTCTTCAGGTGATAGAAGGCTGACTTTGTATTTACATTCCACCATTGTCTTTTTATCCCAAAATACCATTTTCTAACTTTTTGAAAATGAAAATGAGAACAGCATTTGACACTTCATTTTCAAAGACTTAATCTGCTCAATAGCGGACTTTACTCAAATTTTACATTTACATTGCAAGCAGCTTTCCAAGGGATACAATGCAAATGAAACTCTCTGTCACTCATCAAGGCGCGTCTTCAGTTAAGACATCACTTCCTCTTCAGTTAGAAAGCAATTTCACATTCTCAGGGTTCAATAGTTACCATTACACAACACAAGGCTGTAACTTTACAACCAAATGAAACCTTTCGACCGAACAGCTCAAAGATGGAGCTCCCGACTTCAAACTTGAATCTTGTAAGTTTTGGCATTTTTATGTTGCTTTTCTGTTTATTTTTAACACCCAGGAAAACTTCCATAACGTATGTTTCTCAATGCATAAAACATAAGACATAGCCTAATGCATATAGTAATAGAAAGAAACAAAATTACTCAACAGATCCAATTTAAAAATAACTTTGTTCCTATGTTCTTCCACACATGCCAGTATTGCAGGAAAGAAATTTGCATTCAGAATAAACAAACATGGAGGAGAGTGAGTTTACTCTGGGTAATACTGAACAGGAGGACTCGGACCATGCAAAAAAAGCGAGAAGCTCACGCGTAAGAGGGAAGTCTGTTGTATGGACGAGCCACACAACACTATTATAGCAGTTCCAGCCATGATGTGTGCGTCAGGTAACGTTTCATGACTTGCCCACAGACATTCAGCTAACATTTCAGTTCACCTAGACATGCTGTTGTTGTGATGTTATATGTGTATATGTTGATAAGAGATACAGTTGGAAATTCAAATCTCATTAAAGATGTGAGATTTTTGTTATTTCGCGCAGCCCTGTTTGTGAGTGTAGGGAAAAGAGAACTGAAGGGAAAAGCAAGGTGAGGTATTTTAAGAAAGCTTCTCTCCAGTGTGGATTCTCATGTGTCTGGACAAATGGCCTCTGACATGGAAACTTGTTTTACAAACTGTGCAAGTGAAAGGTTTTTCTCCAGTATGAACTCTTAAGTGTAAGGTCAAGGATGAGTTTTGTGCGAATCTTCTACCACAGAGAGAACAACTAAAGGGTTTCTCTCCTGTGTGGATTCTCATGTGTTGTTTCAAGCATGACTTTTGTGCAAATCTTCTACCACAGAGAGAACAACTGAAGGGTTTCTCTCCTGTGTGGACTCTCATGTGTTTGGACAAAGTGCTTCTGTTACCGAAACTTGTTTTACAAACTGAGCAGCTGAAAGGTTTTTCTCCTGTATGAACTGTTAAGTGTCGGGTCAATTTTGAGTTGTGTGGGAATCTTTTACCACAGAAGGAACAAATGAAGGGTTTCTCCGCTGTGTGACATCTCACATGCTTCGCAAACATTACCCTGCATTTAAACGTTTTTTTACAAACAGAGCAGCTGAAACATTTTCCTTCTGAATGAAGTACCATATGAGTCATTAAGGACTTCTTCCAGAGGAATCTTCTACCACAGACTGAGCAACTAAATAGTTTCTCTCCTGTTTGGATTCCATTATTTTCCTGCAAATGTCCCTTGTGGTCAAACTTGTAGCACATTCAGCTTGTTTCCTGATATCCTCCCAATCAAAACTGTCATCAGACTCCGGTTCAGAGGAGTTTGAAATCCTGTCATGAGGAGCTGGAATTAAATGTCTAGCTGGATCTGAGTTCCTGGCTGGTTCTGGTCCTCCACAGTCCTCTCCATCAGCTTCTGTTTTCATCTGTTCAGTGAGTCTTTGATGAAGCTGTGAGGACTGAGGTTTCTCTTCATCATCTTCTTCACTCTTCACAGGGACAGGAGTTAATGTAAACTTGGTGATATCAGCCTCCTCCAGCCCTCGAAGCTGTTCTCCCCCAAGACTGGTCCAGAGTTCCTCCTGTTCCTCCTTAATGTGTGGGGGCTCTGGTGGGTCCTCCTGGTCCAGCCTGGGGCTCCACTCCTCTTTAATGTGTGGGGGCTCTGGTGGGTCCTCCTGGTCCAGCCTGGGGCTCCACTCCTCTTTAATGTGTGGGGGCTCTGGTGGGTCCTCCTGGTCCAGACTGGGGCTCCAATCCTCTTTAATGTGTGGGGGCTCTGATGGGTCCTCCTGGTCCAGCCTGGGGCTCCACTCCTCTTTAATGTGTGGGGGCTCTGGTGGGTCCTCCTGGTCCAGCCTGGGGCTCCACTCCTCTTTAATGTGTGGGGGCTCTGGTGGGTCCTCCTGGTCCAGCCTGGGGCTCCACTCCTGCTGCTCAGGGGGAACTGCTGCTTTACTCACCAACAGCAGCTGGACGTCTGTGGAGAATAATGAAATACACACAAATTCCCTGTTAATATTTTAAAACTGACACCACTACTTTCTTAAATGCATGGAGAAATGATAAATTACATTTACATTTATTCATTTAGCTGACGCTTTTATCCAAAGCGACTTACAATTTTTTGCAGGATTTCAGATTAAAAGCATATCCAAATTATGCGATAAGGTAAATGAGACTATGCAGCATGATATGATGCTACATTATACTGAATATTAAGTTTTCTATCTGGAATATCAAGGGCTCCAATAATGTTATCAAAAGGAAAGGTGTTCTAAACTATCTTAAAAATGAAAATGTCCAGGTTGCTTTCCTCCAAGAAACCCATTTGAATGAGGAGGAGCACAAAAAATCTCAGGGAATGGGTCTTACACTACAAATAAAAGGGGTGCAATTATATTAGTTCATAGACTGTTGCAACTTACAGCTGAAAATAGTTAAGATATAGACGGAATCAGTAATGTTAGGAAATGTTTATGCTCCTAATGTCTATGACGAAGACTTTTTTGCCTTCCTACTCTGTAAAATTGCTGAAATAGACTGTACAACTATGATAATTGGAGGTGATTTTAATTGTTATCTTTCCCTGTCTCTAGAAAGAGACCCCCAACATAAAAATCAATCAAAATCTGGCAGAGCACTACAAAATTTTCTTGAGACATTTAACCTATTAGATGGTTGGAGATACATGAATCCTAATAACAAAAATTACACATTTTATTCTCCACCTCACTTGTCATTCTCACAAATTGACTAGGTATATATCTGACCACCTAGCCCAGTTGCTACAAATCGGATGGGATGCTTAAAACCCAATGGTACCTGCCACCTATTTCCAGGAAAAACGCCTAAAATAAATCAGTAATATCTCCTAAACCATTAGGCCTAGATACATAATTCTGGTCTCCTTTGAAAGGTCAGAAGCTATGGAATATAAATCCATTGTACATTAAAGAGGTGGTATTATACTCATTTTCAGGTTCAAAATCCTATTTAGGGGTTGTATCCAGAACAGGTTTACATGGTTTAATGTTTAAAAAAAACACCATATTTTTTGTCATCCTGCACATTGCTGCAGCTCCTCTTTTCACCCTGTGTTGAAGGCTTCGTTTTAGCTATGGAGTGATACATCTTGTCTCTAAATGATCTTTGTTGGGAGTTGCACATGCACAGTTCCTAGTTAAGGACTACTAGCCAATCAGAAGCAGAGAAGGGCGGGTCAGCGAGAAGCCGGTAAACAGCTTCGGCTCAGCTGTACATGTTGCCGACCACCTTGGCAACATGAACTGGAGCAAGAGTTTCAGAGTGGCTGTGTCATTTGTCACGTTAATTACATGACTTTAATAATAATAAAACAGCCTTAATTACTTCTCCTCTCCTGAAAACATTTATGACTCGTTAACCCTCCTGTTTTTCACTGCCCTCTCCCGGCTCACACAGCAGCACGTTTAATGTTACAGTAATATTAGTTTAGAGTTGGAGGCTACGCTGCTGACAGACGTGGTTATGATTATTTCCGAAACAGTGTGGCAGTTCTAGTCAACGGTCCTCTCACTTGTCCCCAGTTCATCACTTCTAAACATTCTCTAAAATCACGTAACGTTACAGCAGCTCACGCTGGGTCATAATATTTAGGCCACTGTCAGTTCTCACATCGAACTGGAGGGACAATAAATAATAACTACTCTAATAGTATATTCTAAATTTAAATAAACTAAAGGCTGCATTAAAAAAACACGTAAGAGATTTTTTTAATGTGCATCTTAGAATAAAGTGCTTAATTTCAGAAAAATGAAATAAGTGTCACCGGAAGTGCTTAAGTGTAGTCTGAACCAATTTAATGATAAACACTCAACACATCTTAACAATTAAACCACTTTAATACTCCTCTTCTCTTTCATTCCCTCTTAAAAAACACGTCCCTGCTTTCTCTTGTTCAGTGAGAAACATGAGCAGCTTGTCCTGGATTTTTAAGAGATATTCTCAGTTTGAACTTCCCGTGGGAAGAATGAGTACATGTACGAATCTGTCTTAGTTAAAAGCCATGTGAAATCTCTCCATGTGCGTGTTTCTCACTTGCGGACTCGACTCACAACGTTTATCGGAATGCACAGATTTGATTGGCTGAGCAGCGTCACATGAGCCGATTGGAACACATGCAATTGGTCTGTGAGTTGTTTCCTGTGCAGCTAAACCAGGACAGGAAATGCTAGAAAAGCTGCGCAGGTTAAAATAGAAACGCTCCGTCACGAGTTAGTAATTCTCAATAACAGATCAGCTTCAGGTCCGGGTCTGGAGAGGATGGCGGCTGGGTCCGAACCAAGACCACGGTCCGCCAGTCAGTGACCTCTGTTCTAGGTAATGTTCAACCTTGTCTTAGTGTTTATCTACTACTTGAATCTGCTCCTCTTCTCCCGACACTCACACACTCACAAACACCATGAAGTCTGGGGATTTATTAGGCTAAATGTTTCAGGGGAAATTGAAATGATGTAATTCATATCAAACACTCAGCGTTGTGTTTATTAAGTCTTCTGATATCCTTTAACACTCCTGCATACTGCAGCTTTCATTCATACTTTCATCAGCTGATTATACTGAGGTAAACACGCCGGCTGGCTCCGCCTCTTTCTGTCTCTCTCTCACTGTATGTGTCTCTGCTGACTTTCTCTATCAGCAGTACGTTTCATAAAGTTGCCAGGGAGAGACAGAAAGAGGCGGAGCCAGCCGGCGTGTTTACCTGAGAGACCAGAGGTTCAGGCTATGTGTGAAGAAAATAAACACTAAAATAAGGTGGAAAATTACCTACAATAACCTACTGTCAGTACAAATACGATAAACACAGGTACAGAGCCCACCGGCCGCCGCCACAGTCGCACTGTCTTAATGAGAGCTCAACAGTCCGGGGAGCAGGTGTGTCGCCGATCTGTCATCGGATCCGCGTCCCGAGACCGTCGACTTGTGTTACCGGACTCGTTTTCAGAACCGTTACATCCGTTCACTACATCTGATCATTAATATCACAAGTGATGATCTTATAGACCATGATGCATTGCTGCAAATTAAACTACCAAACAGGATGTAAAGGAGTTAAAATGAGCTGCAGCAGTAAAATTCAGCATTAATGCAGCAAGAATATTAATCCAGAAACATCAGATATAACAGAGAAACTCTGACAGGAACATTTTACTGCACTGTGAGTACTTTTACTGTCATACTGTAAGTACATGTTGCTGATAATACTCACATACTTTTACTGAAGGAAGGTTTGAATGCAGGACTTTTACTCGCAGTGGAGTATTTTCACAGAGTGGTATTAGTACTTTTACTGCAGTAAAGGCAGTTTACAGTGAGAATCAGCAGTAAAGTGTACAAACCTGCTCAGGCTTGAAAACAGCGTCCAGTAGTTTGCGTTGTCCACAAAGTTCCTCCTCGTTCTCCACTTTAGACATTTTTACTGATTCACAGCAGCTTTTCCTCCAGACTGTTTCCAGCTAGCAAGCTAAGCTAACTGCATTAGCTTCGTAGGACAGCGGGAGATAATTCAGATGTTAAACATGTTCAGATAAAGGGAACAGCACAGAGTCTATTCAGACAGCTCTATCTGGACATTTGGACATTTGGGCTCCGTGAAAAACACAGTTTGGTCTCTATGGAAGCTGCTCCGACTGTGAGGCCGAGCTCCGGCTCCGGCTACTTCCTGCTAACAAGCTAACTTCCTTTAGCATTCTTGGCTAACAGGAGATGAGTCTGAGGTGAAACATCCCGAAAGTTTAAACAGAGTCCACTTAAACACGTTGATCCTCACATGCAGGCTCTGCTGCTGAACTCCGGCTGCATCTCACGGTAACGGAGAAGTTAGCATGTTAGCCACCGGAAGTTCCCCTGCTTCTGGTAGCACTTCTGTGCTGATTTTCAAAATAAAAGGGACCGACCTTATATTTATCTTTGTTAAAAATTGACAATGGCAGAAAAATTCAGATCCTTTACTGAAGTAAACAGAGAAATACCACAAAGTAAAGTAAAAATTAAAATCAAGGGCAACTTGGATTAAAATACAAGAAGACGTTTCGTCCGTAATGGATTAACCTTCCTTGGAGAAGAGTAGAAAAAGCTTAATGTACAACACATTAACACAAACAACGTAAAAAATAATAATTATGATACTGTATAATAATATTCTAGTGTACACTCTCTGTGTGAGAGACCCAGGTTCAATTCCTCACTGTCACACATCCACCAACGTGGCCCTGAGCAAGACACTTAGCCCTAGTTGGTCTCTGGCCTCTGACATAAATAGCAATTGCAAGTCGCTTTAGATAAAAGCGTCAGCTAAATGAATAAATGTAAATATGTGAAAGAATCATATTACTCTTACAGGGCTGAAAGTTCTCCGGCACTGAGCACAAAATCTGCCACAGCAAATTTAGATTCAGAAAGTAGTCTTGCAAAAAGCCTGTATCTAGTAGCTTCATTCTCCTCAGGAAGTGCAGTGTGATCTTCAGAAATGCCTCTCTGCTGCTCCTCCTCTGCTCTTCCTCCTCACTGTCCAACACCTCCTCATCCTCCCTCTGACTCTCTAAGCATTCAAGAACATGTCCACACTTCGGTCTTCTCTCTCATCCATTTCCTCATCACCTCCCGCTTGAGAACTCGGCTGCCAGGGTTCTCACTCATACAAGGCCGTTGCAGCACATCACTCCCATCCTCACTCACCTTCACTGGCTCCCGGTCAAATTCCACATTACCTACACAATCCTCCTCCCTTGCATATAAATCCTTCCATGTCACTGCTCACCTGTACCTACTGGACCTTCTCCATCCCTACAGCCCGGAACCAGAACCTGCTCTCCGTCCAACACCAGACTGCAAACGTCTGAAGACAGCCTTCAGCGTCGCAGCCCCAGCTTCTGGATCTCCATCCCGTCAGAGATCTGCAACCTCTATGGACAAGTTTTAAAAAACTACTAAATCCAAAACTACAAACACACCCACACCTATTTATATTCGATCTAAAACGACCTCCTTTCGCTGTTATATGTGAGGTGTAAAACAACCTTGGGTCCCTTGAAAGACACTATTAAAGTTATCATTAATGATAACACAATCAAACTACACAGCTCAAAAAACTAAGGCAACACTGAAATCACACATCACCAGTCTTTATCGTACATTGTATAATTCGTTTAGAACAAACAGATGGATCAAAGTAAAATATTTAAATCACAGGCTAAACCAACTTGCATGACTTTCATCATAGCAACTCATAATTTCCCCACAGTAGTTTGGCCCCCACTTGCAGTCTGTGGCGCTACTTGGAGTCGTCAGACAAGATTCAGGTCCGGGGAACGTGAAGGCCAGTCAACGGCATCAATCTTAAGCCTTCGTCATCCAGGAACCCGTAAACCTTCTTGCGATAGCAAATATGGATGTGAACTCCTTGAGGAGCTGGACTACCTGCCGCCATGACTTTTGTGAGGCTGTTACGTCACAACTAAACAATCAGCCTTGTTTAAACTTCATCACAACACTAAGCGGTCATTTCATTGCTGTGCTGCACACTGGTTGGATGGCAGGAAGCCAATATTTCATTGAACAGGATTCCCATGTTTTCTGGTTTTCCCTCTGATGCGCAGCAGCTGTGCAGAGTTGATTCATGCTCAAAAACCTTTTCTTGCAGCTCCCCCTGACTTATAAATATACCACAGTCAACTGTTAACAGAGCAGAAGCGATTGGGAACAACAGAAACTCAGCCCGAAAGTGGTAGGCCACATAAAATCACAGAGCAGGGTCAGCGCATGCTGAGGCGCACAGTGCGTAGAAGATGCCAACTTTCTGCAGTCAGTAGCTACAGACCTCCAAACGCTGTGTGGCCTTCGGTTTAGCTCAAGAACAGTGCGTAGAGAGCTTCATGGAATGGGTTTTCATGGCCGAGCAGCTGCATCCAGACCTTACATCACCAAGTGTAATGTAAAGCACTGGATGCAGCGGCGTAAAGCACGGCGCCACTGAAGACTAGAGCAGTGGAGACGTGTTCTCTGGAGTTATGAATCACACTTCTCTGTCTGGCAATCTGATGGACGAGTCTGGGTTTGGCGGTTGCCAGGAGAACGGTACTTGCCTGACTGCATTGTGCCAAGTGTAATGGTTTGGTGGAGGGGGGGTTATGGTGTGGGGTTGTTTCTCAGGGGTTGGGTTTGGGGATGGCCTCTTCTTGTTCCAACATGACTGGAGTCCAATAAACCTCAGTCAAAAATTGGTGTAAAAAGAGTCTTTATTCTTTTACAATACAAAGACACAAGTTCATCTCACCAGGCCCCTCAAGACAAACTGAAGGAACATCTTACAAACTTTAGGTGCGTTCGAGATGATGGCGGCTGACTTTCGCCGACTTGATGGTCTAACGTGAGCTCCAGGTGACCGCAGGGGCGGGGACACATTCTACCTGCGTGAGCTTACTGTGAGCTGAGATCAATGACTGGTCTCTTAGCATTTGCATAAAAAAATGCCGCGAGACCAATCAAAAGTGTGGTTCCAAGATACTATTGCAGCCGGAGAAAAGCAACTGCGGCCGCCAGACTCAGCACCTGCAGTCGCCTTGCTCCCGCGAGGTTTCAGTGTCATGTGACATGGTGACGTTTTGAAGCGCCGGCAAAAGTTGGACACAATTTCTAACCAGCATGCCTTCTTTTAAGTCTAGCATGCATCACGTTAAGTCAGCGCTGCACAGCGTTGCATGAAGCCAAGCGCACCTATCGGTTTTTATAGTCCATAGTCTCCTCCTATTCTAGGTGGGATTTTTGCATCATCTCCACCACTTTATATGATCACCACTTTATATCATCTTTTTAATAAATTGCAATAGTGAATTGTCTATTGCTGCCATCTAGTGGCCTTTCCTATGTATTAATTTTCCACCTTTATGGTCCTTCAACTTAATTTTCTTTTAATATGTTAGTATGCAGGTGAACTTTACCACAATGTGTTTATGTATTTTTTAGACAATTCATTTACCATTTTTCACCATTGAAATTTAGTCATCAAATATTTTTAAAAGATCTATATACCCTAGATAACACCATTAAAACTTTACATTACATTTATTTAGACAGATTAACGTGTTTTAAAGTCAAAATTGTAATGCGTTCAAAACTCAAAGTATTCAATGAATATTCTGGTTACATACATAGATTACAACCTGTAAGACTCTTTATTTTCCACAACTGCTACTTTAATAAATTTTTCCCATGAGCATCTTCCTGCCATGCTCTTCACCTGGCACCTTGTCTTATCTCAGAGGCACAAAGGGTATGTTGACTGCTGAGCAGGGCACACAAAATTAATGGACTGCAGAGACAGTGAGAATAGAAGAACTGCTACTCCTGTGATCTTATAACAAGATATCTAGTGTTTCAGAACTCAAAGATCTCTAAACTCAGGAACCTTAGAAACAGCTGTAAAACAAGATATATGTTTATGACTGTTTTGTTTTCCTCAATCTTTACCGACTAACTTCAATAATTTCTTCATCTAAACCATCAACCTGCCTCTCCGACTAGGTTGCTTAAAGAAGTTTTACCCTTAGTCAGCACCTCTATACTAGATATAATCAATCTATCTTTATCAACAGGCTATGTACCACAGTACTTTAAAGTAGCTGTAATTAAACCTCTTATGAAAAAGCCCAAACTTGATCCGGATGTTTTAGCCAACTATAGACCTATATCTAACCTTCCATTTCTCTCTAAGGTTCTGGAGAAAGCAGTAGCTAAACAGCTGTGTGACTTTCTACAGTGCAATAGTTTATTTGAGGATTTTCAGTCAGGATTTAGAGCTCATCATAGCACAGAGACAGCACTGGTGAAAATTACTAACGACCTCCTTATTGCATCAGACAAAGGACTTGTCTCTGTACTGGTTTTATTAACTTCTAACTTTCATAGTTATGCAGATGATACTCTACCTTCAGGATGTTAAAACCTGGATGACCTGTAATTTTCTAATGTTAAACTCAGATAAAACTGAAGTTATTGTTCTGGGGCCTAAGCACCTCCGTGACGCATTATCTAAAGATATAGTTTCCCTTGATGGCATCGCCCTGGCCTCCAGCACCACTGTGAGGAATCTTGGAGTTATCTTTGATCAGGACATGTCGTTTAAGTCTCACATTAAGCAAATTTCAAGGACCGCCTGTTTTCACCTACGTAATATTGCGAAAATCAGGAACATCCTGTCTAAAAATGATGCAGAAAAACTAGTCCATGCATTTGTTACTTCTAGGCTGGATTACTGCAATTCCTTATTATCAGGCTGCTCGAAAAAATCCAGAATAGAATTTAAAATCATTCTTCTTACCTACAAAGCTCTTAATGGTCAGGCACCATCTTATCTTAAAGAGCTCATAGTACCTTACTACCCCACCAGAGCACTGCGCTCCCAGAATGCAGGGTTACTTGTGGTTCCTAGAGTCTCCAAAAGTAGACTAGGAGCCAGAGCGTTCAGCTATCAAGCTCCTCTCCTGTGGAACCAGGTTCCAGTTTGGGTTCAGGAGGCAGACACCATCTCCACATTTAAGAGTAGGCTTAAGACTTTCCTCTTTGATAAAGCTTATAGTTAGGGCTGGCTCAGGTGAGTCCTGAACCATCCCTTAGTTATGCTGCTATAGGCCTAGACTGCCGGGGGATTTCCCATGATGCACTGAGCTCCTCTCTCCTCTACTTTCTCTCCCTCTGTATGCAACCTCATCCCATTATTGCATGTTACTAACACAACTTCTCCCCTTTCTTGTGCTTTCTCATCCCTCTCCTCTCTCCTCCTATCACTTCCTGCAGGTGTTTCTGGCTCTGGAGCTGTGGAGTCTGGATCTGTGGTTGCGGGTCACCTGCTGCCCCCGTGTTCCTGCTCGACACCCTCTGCTGCAACAACTATTGTTACTAGTCTTATTGTTATTCTTATTATAATTATTAACATTACGATTATTATCACAGGCATTACTATAAATATCTGTACCATTATTCATTCAGTCTATAGCAACATCACCTTTACTGTCTGTACCTCTGTGTGTATATTGTGTAGGCTGCCTCCCTCTCCTCTCAACCCTCTCTCTCTAACCCTTGAACTAAAAGAGGTCAAAGTTAGTATACAGTATGGAAGTTTTCCTGGGACTTTATTCAAATTATCATGCAAATTTGAAAAGGAAAATGCAATTCCACAATAGCATTATCATTTTTCACATAATGTATGCGTTATTTAAGTAAAAATTAAAATGCAATGATCCAATTTTTATTTTCATTTTCACATACTTGTGTGGGCTTTCTAGGAAACAGGATTTGACATTTCATTTTCAATTTCATTTTACCTGCGCAAAAGTGGACATTCAAATGCAATTGGCAAAACAGCGCCCCATGTTTATTGCATTTACAAGTCCATGTCACCATGGTCTTATGTCAAAATGCTATTTTCTAACTATTTGAAAATGAGAACAGCATTTGACATTTCATTTTCATGACTTCATCTGCTCAATAGAGGACTTTTTTCAAATGCAATAAGTGAAACAGCGCCCTCTGTCTCATCAAGGCGGGTCTTCAGCAAAGATGTCACAAGGCTTAACTTCACAACCAAATGAAACCTATCGACCGAACAAGGATGGATCTTCATAGACTTCAAACTTGGAACATTGGAAGTTTTGCCATTTTTATGTTGCTTTTCTGTCCATAATATATTGTCAGTGCATAAAACATAAGACATAGCCTAATGCATTACTGAAAGGAACAAAATTACTCAACAGATTTAATGAAAAACTAACTTTGTTCCTATGTCCTTCCACACATGCTGGTTCTTCAGGGAAGAAATTTGTATTCAGAATAAACAAACATGGAGGAGAGTGAAGTTTACTCAGAACTGGGTAATACTGTACAGGAGGACTCAGGCCATGCTAAAAAAAAAAAAAAAAAAAAAAAAAAAAAGAGAAGCTCGTTGTATGGACACTATTTCAGCAGTTACAGCCATGTGTGGGTTAGGTGACGTTTAATGACTTGCCAACGGACATTCAGCTAACTTTCCAGTTCACCTAGACATGCTGTTGTTATGATGTTGTATATGTTGATCTATGAAGAGTTAAAGTTGGAAATTCCAAAGTCATTGAATTGATAAAGAAAAAGTGTTTCATTGAGGTATTTAAAAAGCTAAAATATATAACATAATAATGTAGAATCAAAATGTTGAAAAAACAGATGACCTACTGGTCTTGCCCTCAGTACATCAATCCTGCTGGAAGGAATCGGCTCAACAATCATCTCTGCAGCTTCATTTACTTCCACTGCTCTCACCAGCACACTTGTGGTTTTTGAGATGCTCAAGCCGAGTGTATCTTTTATTACATACAGTGCAACAAAATGGTTTCTCCTTTCTGTGGATTCTCATATGTCGATTCATATTTCTCTTTTCTCCACATGTTTTACCACAGACAGAGCAACTAAATAGTTTCGCCCCTGTGTGAACTCTCATGTGTCTGGACAAATGGTCTCTGACACGGAAACTTGTTTTACAAACTGAACATGTGAAAGGTTTTTCTCCTGTATGAACTGTTAAGTGTGAGGTCAAGGCTGAGCTTCGTGTGAATCTTCTGCCACAGACAGAACAACTGAAGGGTTTCTCTCCTGTGTGGATTCTCATGTGTTGTTTCAAACATGACTTTTGTGCGAATCTTGTACCGCAGAGAGAACAACTGAAGGGTTTCTCTCCTGTGTGGATTCTCATGTGTCTGGACAAATCACCTCTGACACGGAAACTTGTTTTACAAACTGAGCAGCTGAAAGGTTTTTCTTTTGTATGAACTGTTAAGTGTGAGGTCAAGGATGAGTTTTGTGTGAATCTTCTGCCACAGACAGAACAACTGAAGGGTTTCTCTCCTGTGTGGATTCTCATGTGTTGTCTTAGACGTGACTTTTGTGCGAATCTTCTACCACAAACAGAACAACTAAAGGGTCTCTCTCCTGTGTGGATTCTCATGTGTCTGGACAAAGTGCTTCTATTACTGAAACTTGTTTTACAAACTGAGCAGCTGAAAGGTTTTTCTCCTGTATGAACTCTTAAGTGTGAGGTCAAATTTGAGTTGTGTGGGAATCTTTTACCACAGAAGGAACAAATGAAGGGTTTCTCCACTGTGTGAAATCTCACATGCTTCACAAACTTTACCCTGCATTTAAACGTTTTTTTACAAACAGAGCAGCTGAAACATTTTCCTTCTGAATGAAGTATCATATGAGTCATTAAGGACTTCTTCCAGAGGAATCTTCTACCACAGATTGAGCAACTAAATAGTTTCTCTCCTGTTTGGATTCCATTATTTTCCTGCAAATGTCCCTTGTGGTCAAAGCTTGTAGCACATTCAGCTTGTTTCCTGATATCCTCCCAATCAAAACTGTCATCAGACTCCGGTTCAGAGGAGGGTGACGCCTTGTCATCAGTATCTGGTTGTAAATGTCTAGCTGGATCTGAGTTCCTGGCTGGTTCTGGTCCTCCACAGTCCTCTCCATCAGCTTCTGTCTTCATCTGTTCAGTTAGTCTTTGATGAAGCTGTGAGGACTGAGGTTTCTCTTCATTGTCTTCTTCACTCTTCACAGGGACAGGAGTGAATGTGAAGATGGGGATATCAGCCTCCTCCAGCCCTCGAAGCTGCTCTCCCTCTTTACTGGTCCAAAGTTCCTCCTGTTCCTCTTTTATGTGTGGGAGCTCTGGTGGGTCCTCCTGGTCCAGAATTGGGCTGCTCTCCTCTTTAATGTGTGGAGGCTCTGGTGGGTCCTCCTGGTCCAGAATTGGGCTGCTCTCTTCTTTAATGTGTGGAGGCTCTGGTGGGTCCTCCTGGTCCAGACTGAGACTCCATTCCTCTTTAATGTGTGGAGGCTCTGGTGGGTTCTCCTGGTCCAGACTGTGGCCCCACTCCTCTTTAATGTGTGGGGGCTCTGGCGGGTCCTCCTGGTCCAGATTGGGGCTCCACTCCTGCTGCTCAGGAGGAACCTCTTCTTTACTCACCAACAGCAGCTCGACGTCTGTAGAGAATAATGAAAAACACACAAGTTGTAGAAAACGAACTTCCTGTTAACATTTAGACCACTGACACCACTACTGTCTTAAATGTGAGGGGAAATGATAAAACATTTTGTAAAACATATTTGAAAGTAAGGCTAGGCCTAGGGATTGTGATGAGATTTAAGTCGATAATGATGTTAAGTTTGGAATTTTTTAATTCAACGTGGATAGATCTACAGTCTATCACACAGCAGAAATAACAATAATAACCAGTCAGTCTGCAGTTTTTCAGAATCAGAAGGAGCTTTATTGCAAAGTAGTGTTTTACACATACATGGAATTTGCTTTGCTGATAAGGTGCTACAGGAAGACAGACATACAGATGACAGAAATAGATGTAGAAATATTTAAATATGTAATAAACAAATGCAAGTTATATAAGAATAACAGAAGAATAGAGAACAATAATACAACTGACAATAAAAAAATAAATAAAAAAAATGTACAAAACAATTTACAATTAACAAAATAACAAATATGTGCAATGTGCCACTGGTTTGCACATCAAAGTACATGCCCAATTCATACAGCAAAGCATTATCTGAGCTCCCCAGAGAATGGGGGTGTGGTTAATTGTCGGACGTAATACCATGACAACCAAACACTGACAGGCTGGAGTGTTCATTAACGATATGCTGTGTTAACATCACTACACTGTAAAGTTTAGTACACTTTACTGTCTGGCAGGAGTAGCTATTACTTACCCATGATAGAAACTAATCGTTTCAGCGTATCAGCTGGGAGGTGGGAGGCTCCACTACCTGACAGTTGTGGGGTGCCTGTGTCACAACTACCCTCCAATTTTAACTGCACCTTAGTTACCACACACCTTATCTTTACTCCACCATACAACACTTCACAATCCATGACATGCATCCAACACAAAACAATACATTTACAGAGGCAGGCAGAGGGGTTGAAGGAGTGGGGGAGATTCTCATTGGCCTTGTGCCCTGCCCCTGGAGGCCCGGGCGTGCTGTGGGGTTTGTGACGGCCTTGCCTGATCTGGGGTGGGCTGGGGGGGGATCGGGGCTCTCCTGGCGTGGGGGCCCGCTCTTGACCTAGGGATCTGGGGACTCGGGCTTGTGGCTTTTGCTCATTTCAGGGCGGGTGGTGTGTCCCTGGGCCTGGGGCCCCGTTGTCTCCTCTCCGGCAGGGCTGGGGCTCCCGCTGCTTCCCCCTGCCAGCTCTCTCACAGTGGGGGCATTCGGGAGTCTCTGGGGCGCATGGCCGGTTTTGTCGGGGTAGGTTTTGGTGCTCCTCCTTGGGGGTGCTTGACTGGGGGGGCTGGGCCCCCGTCCAGGGATGAGATCGGCCTTGGGGGCTGCTGGCACTGCCTGCACTCTGGGGAGGGATGCCTCTGGCTGGGCTGGGGGACCGTTGGCCTGGTTCTCCCGCGTTATCGGCGGCAGGGAGCTTCCCGGCACGGCTTTCTGCTGTTCTTCCTTGGGGCGGGGTACAGCTTCCCCCGGGACATGCGGTCTGGGGTCCTTTGCGCTTTGGGGGGTCGCGGGGTGCCCTGGCTTCGGGGGGGGGGGGGTGTCTCTGCTCGGGTTGATCCGGTTGCGGTTTGGAGGGCTGCGGTGGGATTGTGGGGCGATTGTTGATGTATCTTGATGCATTGTGCTTTTTCCCTGGGCAGGGTCTCTGAATGGCTGCTGGGTGTTTAGTTTGTGCATTGGAGTCCGGGGGAGGCATTTCTTCGTTGGCTGGGAGGGACCACTTTGCCTCCCTGTTTTGCTTCGTTGGCCTCGGATCCATGCTTCCCCATTTCTCTATCGGCCAGTTGTTGGACCCCTCTGGATACTGAGGCATATAATTAGTTTTCGGGATGTGCAGTGTGGATGTGGGGCAGGGCTGTGCTCCGGTTTGTTCTGGGTTTGTGCCTGGAGTTCTCGGCCCTTGACGGGTGGGTGGGTGGGTTGGTGGTGGCATGCAGCTGAGCTGGTTGATTTTTCCTCGTTGCTGGTTTGCCTGGTGTTGCACGGCGGCCGGGGGGCGTGCTGGGAATGGGGGATGTCGGCTGGCGCCGGCAGCCTTAGTTTTTTCCGGCGGTTGGAGGGACGGCGGACTTTTATTGGCGGGTGCACGGTGACCGGTGCGGCGCGTTTGCTGCCGAGCTGGGACTTGCTGCTGGTCTTTCTCTCTGCTGGCTTTCGCTGTCCTCGCACGCGGGATTCGCGGGGGGCTGCTGGGCATTGGGTGTCGCCATGCTCGCGCAATGTGCATGTTGGGCTCCTCACTTGTGTATTTGTGTTGATGATTGCGTGGCATTTGGCCGTTTTGGTTGTTCGCTGCGCGGCGGTGGGGTGCTGGGTGAGCACTTGGGTATGTTGTGCACGCGCGCCGCGGTCGGCCCAGGCGCTGATCTTCCGCGGGTTACGCTTCTTGCGTTCCGTCGGCATTACGTTGTCAACTGGCATTTAGGTCGGGGTCTTCCGCATTTGCATCGCGGTGCATCTGGGAGTCTTTGTTTTTTGATTGATTTTTTTCTTTTTTCTTTCTCCCACCCCTATTGGTTACTGGGGTTCTTGCCTGCCTGTTGCTGGGGTAGGTGTGGCACAGTCGTGGCGTCCCACTCTCACTAACGACTACATTCTTTAACAGGCTTATGCGCACACATGCACACAGACACACACAGTATCACACATAGACACAAACAAATTTAGGTTGTCCCTGGTAGAATTATTCGTGATGCTTTTCTTTCAGTTACTTATTTAATTATTATTCCAGCTCTCGTGGCTGTGCTGTGTTGCTTATTTAGTGTGCTAAATAAGTGTGCTGGACTGTTTCTTGTTTTCATTTTTCTCTTAGTTGTCTTACTATGTCAGCTGTTTATTGCTGCTGTTCGGCTGGTTGTCTTTTACTATTATTATTATTTTTATTGTTTGTTGTTTTTCTCCTCCCCAAGCCCCCCCCCCCCCCCCCCGTTCTATTGCAGGTTTCGTTGCTTTCTGCAATTGGTGCAGGTCTTGTCCTTTGTCTGTGCTGTCTGTTTGTGCACCCCCATCCCCGGAGTATAAAGGAGTATATTAATACTCTCTTGTTAAAGTAAAATCTGTCTGGCACAATATGGTATCCAAGTCATCATTCTCTATACCAGGCTGCTGGGCAGGACAAAAAAAAAAAAGCTAACTTTCTGCAATAACTATGCTAGCTAACTACACCTGGCTAACTACAACTTAATTAACTTAGCTAACCAAACTAGAAAGACTAACCAACCATCAGACACAGAGAGACATACCTACTGTAAATTCTAAGTAAATTACATGATGATTGGTTAGCTAGCTCACAACGATGTTTATCGGTTTGATGCTCTGACTTAACAAGGCGTGACGGCGCAACAGTTTAACGAGGCATGACAGTGCGCCTGCGCAAGCTTGAAGAATGATGTATGACTTATGGAATTACTATAGTTATACGTGTAGCACCCCGCAAAATATATAGATTGTTTCCTCTGTGTTCTGCTAATAGAAATATAGTATATCCTGAAATATGGGCCAGTTCAATTGTCCCTGGTGTGTAATACATTTTTGTATTAATATGTTTTAATTATGTTTTGTGAGGTGTTCAAATATTCTATGTTGTGAGTAGCCCTTGAACCTCCCAGGTCATTTTCTTTTGTATTGGGTGGCCAGGTGTCAGTTTTGTTCATTATCCAAAAAAGGAAAAACTGGAAAAGAAACGGAGACGGAAAAAAAGACGAAGCCGAGGAAAGAAGATAGATACGCTCAGAGCTGTAAGAGGTTGTAGGTTCCATAGGATTAATAATATTACTTGTCCTAAAAGTTAAGCGGCAGGAGATTTTTTTTGTCAGTGTGAGACCTGTTAACACAGGAGAGTGAGCTGTGTTTTGGAGCTGGTTAAATCGGCCACGGAGATTCTACTGAAGTGGAGCTAATGCCATAGCCACGTGCAAACTGCTACTACATAGCTAGAAACCTATTTTTGTCGCCGAGTTTCTGAGTGAGTATGGACATTGCGAATTGTAATGGAATTCACATCATTAGACAAAATATGGTAAAGCTCATTAGTGTTTGTGAATTTCTGGCCAGTGTGCGTCGGATGCTGCCACCCAAGCTGCTGCAGTAGATGTGCTCAGGACTTGCCGTTGCAGGGCGGAGGTGTCTGTGTTTGAGCACGGACAGAGCCTCAGGACGGGTTTCTTCATTGTGCATCTCTCCACTGGACAGAAGGGTTCGGAAGGACTGTCACTATAAGCTTTCTGTTACCAAGGTCAATGCGTACAGAAAATATTTCTCTGGGAGGTTGCAACTGAGCTCCAACAAGCGCGCCAACGTTATGGTACCACAAACTGAGAAAAAAAAAACGGGTATTGTTCAGTAATTTCATTTGGACCATGGGGACATTTTAAAAGGGCAACTCACCTGGTTCTGGAAATGAACATAAATATATTTTTGTGTACAACATTCAAGTTTGTGGTCTGATTTATATGTGTGCGATGGTAATGTGATTTGTGTGATTTTGGCAAAAAAGAGTAAGAGTTATAGGGGCTAAATATATGTGCATGGGGGTTTTATGCTCGCAAGAAAAAAAACATACCACAACAGTATAGCTATATTTAAGCTAACCAGGCCTCTCTGCACCCTAGCCAGTATCGCAAGCCAAAGTTGTTAGTTGCTGTAAATACATCCCAAGTTAAATTCTAGTAACCCCTCACCAATTCATTCCCCATACACATGATAAATCCAAAAAAAACCCCAGTGGAATTGAGTGGGAGGGCTACATACGTCACCACCCCGTTTTAACAACTAAGCAACTTTTGCAACTTTGAGCACAAAATTAAGCTATTTGTCAAAAAATATTTTGCGAATTATGTGGGTAAACAACATTGTAAGGAAATGACTCAGAAAAATATGAAATATAGAAATGTCAAAATATACTGGGGGGGGGGGCCTTTAAGAGCTGGCGGCCAGGCTTTATCAGTCTCCAAAACTTTTTCACATCTGCACCTGGCTCACAATATTTCTTCAACATAAATAACACGGGAGTACAAAGAGACTGTGGCAGCGAAAAAAAGACTGGGAGTCATTGTATAGTAAATATGGCGACATGCACAGTTCAAGTGTTTTTAATAAAAACACCAAAACAAAACCACTGCTCAGTAGCATTGTGTAGCAAGATCCAATCAGGAAGCCAGACCTGAGTGTCTGATTCATCGTTTCCAAACTTCTCCATTTAAGGTGTTCGGATTCACCGTTTCATCATCGACGAAAGGTGCAAAAATAGCAGAAGGTCTGCATTTTAAAACGGAAACATAGTGTGGATGTAGACGGAGAATAGGGGCAGAGTTGCATGGGGCAGACGAGAGAGAAGCAAACGCTGCCAGGACTTTATGGAAAAATTAATTTAAAATCCAACATCAAACTATACCGGTATAAATGGTATTGTCTAATTTTAAATCTATTTTGAAAATAGATTGGAAAACCTTATAATACCAATATACCCTAGGTTTAAGGGATCAGATATTGACCCGGGGAAGAACGATGCAAAGTGGAAGACTAGATGTTGCAGAACTGGGTTGGTGGCTGCTGTGCAGAGCAGGGGGGAACGGTGGATCAAAGTCCAGAGGGTGAGAGGCTGAGCAGCTCCAGAGCAGAATACAGGAACAGGATAAGAGCTATTTCCATTAGTTCAATATGCAAAATTCGCTTTAACTTTTATTATAGCCTAGGAAATGTTCTTACTCTCTAACAGGCCTAATTTAATTATTTAAATGTGTTCATTATGTTGTTGTAACCTACAATTTACTGGTTAAATTTAAATGTAGTAATTTGACTGTTTTGATCTGTAAAATGAATAAACTCATTCTTCCAGGGACATCTAACTGACAGGTGGCAGAAAGGGACAGTGAAAGCGAGCGGAGCAGAGGAAAAGATGTCTGGCAGTAAATGTACAGTGTAGGTCACAGTGTGTCCGTCAACAGGTTGCAGACAGTCAAAATTAATCATGTCATATCTCAACCTTTAGTTTGTGACATTGGGGTTCCACAAGGCAGCCTTTTTGGACCCATGCCATGTGCCATGTCATCTGCTGGTGTTGGTCCACTGTGTTTTCTGAGGTCCAAGGTCAACGCAGCCGTCTACCAGGAAGTTTTAGAGCACTTCATGCTTCCTGCTGCTGACCAACTTTGTGGAGATGCAGATTTCATTTTCCAACAGGACTTGGCACCTGCACACAGTGCCAAAGCTACCAGGACCTGGTTTAAGGACCATGGTATCCCTGTTCTTAATTGGCCAGCAAACTGGCCTGAACCCTATGGAAAATCTATGGGGTATTGTGAAGAGGAAGATGCGATACGCCAGACCCAACACTGCAGAAGAGCTGAAGGCCACTATCAGAGCAACCTGGGCTCTCATAACACCTGAGCAGTGCCACTAATTTTGTTACTTTTGCAAACCAAGAACTTGTCATCACAAAGACCTACAACTACCTTGGTGTCCTACTTGATTCACACCTTACATATCGGGAACACATTTCTAGATTAACAAAAAAGTTTAATCAAACTATGCGCATAACAAGATTAGGTCATATCTTTCCTTTTCGGTTTCTGAAACTTACCTACATGCCATAGTGTTTTCAACAATGTCCTGCTGTCTTCCAATCTCTTACTACTAAGGACATCACTGAACCAATAGCACAACTATATTACAGAGCACTTAAGATCCACAGTAATCTTCCAAAGTGGTCTCATCATTGCAGTGCGCTCACACGCACAAATGCTTTGACTTATCAGAACTACTTACTCATTCCAGTCTCATCATACAAAAACAACTATGGTCAGAAATCTTTTGTCTATATTTACACTAAAATTTGGAATGACATTCCCCATCACATTCAAACATTATCATCCATCACATATTTCAAAAAGTCATATAAACTGTTTCTTCTTAACAGTCATACTTGTACACACTGATTGTTCATGTATTGTTTTTAGTCTTGTTTCCCCGTATTTAATGTTTCACTTGTTTGTATCTGTCTAGTCAATAATAATGTCCTGGTTAAATGTGTTGAAATTGTGTTTATTGTTCTATGTTGCTGCAGAACAGGAACCTGCTAAACCAGTTTTTAAACCGAGTCAGGCCCGTTTACTGTAACCAAATTGTTGCTCTTAAACTTTTCCTGTATAATAAATGAAATGAAATAAAGTCTGTTTTCCAACTGCTGGAAAAGTGAAGGCGGTTAGCGCTAGCTAACATCTCTTTAGACGGCGGTCTGGAAGCTGAGCAGGAAGGCTAACAGGACGTTTTTTGGCTGCTATTTCAAGTTTGTTTGTTGTCATTCATCCACATACTGAGTACACAAATGAACGAAATGCCGTTTCTCACGATCCTCGGTGCTCAATACAAGATTACAATGATCAACTTACAAGACACAAAAATGTAACTACACTAGACGAGACAAAAAAAAGATCTGTAAAGGTTGAGTGAACACAGTGTGGCTGGAGTGTTGTAAAGTACAACTCATAATTGAATCTTTACTAATAACAGCAGCATCAGAAATGAAAATAGAAGCAACAGAGGTCAGTAATAATGCTGTTATGATGATAAGTAACGCTACATTTATTTATTCAAGTCACGTTAAACAGCTGCATGTCATTACTACCTACCTACCAATCACACAGTGAGAAAATGTATCTTTATCCTATTCGTTTTACAATCGCATCGTAGCCCTCATAATCGTAACGAGGTGCCTAGAGACTCCCACCCCTACAGATGACTCATTGTGATGCATCAAGATATCGAATCGTTGACAGGATAATCTTAATCAAATCGTTAATGACGTAGTCTATCAAACATCTGCACTCTGTGTTCACTATTGTTTTACCTGGTCCGTGCTTGTAAAATATCCGCCGTGTCTGCGACTTGTAAGGTAAAAAAGTTTTTACCAAGTCTTTGTGTGAAACGCGCCCCAGCCGATGCCATTGTACATCCCAGTGTTTTGTTGTAGACGTCATCCGATGGCAATTTTGCAGACATCGCACAACCCTAGCTGTGTAAAACAGCCGGTTACTGTCTGTGCCGCTGTGCGCATGACGTACAGTGCAATCACTTTTTCACATTTAGTTATGTCTTATTCCAAAATGGATGAAATTCATTATGTTCTTCATCCACAAATCTACCAACAATACTCCATAATGACAACGTGAAAGAACCTTTGCTTTTTATTAAAATTAAAAAACGAAATAGGCACAAGTATTCATAGTGGGTTTAGAATGACTCGGAGAAAATCAGACATTTGTCACTGCTCGGCGCCGGTTAAGGTGAAAACCGGCCAATTTACATCACTGGCCAGTCCATCAGTGCATTCCTAAAACCTCCTATAACATTTTCAAATATTAAATACTACAATGACTTGGATGAATATGTTACGCTTATTATTTACTGAGATGTATATTGCCCAGTCTGCCCCACTAATCAACATTTTAATATTCAGTGTGAATCCACTGCTTTCCATCTTGCAGAGTTTAACTAAACCTTGACTGAGTGACAGATAATCATTGTCTTGTTTTCAAATGATGTGAGCCTACGTGGTTATTTTTTCAAAGCTGCAGTTTATCAAACATAATAAATAGTTGTATTTCACGCTAACAGACACAGTCTGGTAAGTTAAGAGACCAAGAGATGTGCTGCTCAGCTGGTTAGCAGGACAGACAGAGACTCACTGCAGCTGCACATTGACATGACTGCGTTCTGCTGACATTTGAGAGGAGACCAACTTCACCTGCCTGCTGTCCACAGTTCACTCTCATCAAGTTGTTTCTCTCTGTGCCCAGAAGTTTAGTCCTTCTTTCTCCTCCTTAAAACTTGTGAACATTAACACTCACTTTCACCTTTGACACGAGAGCCGAGTCGGTTTTATCACTTTTAACATGTGTTTTTAAATGCTGCTCCACTCAGGTGCGCTGCATGCTAATAACAACGTGACGAGGTTTCGTGTTGAATGAAACAGAGAAAAAAGTCGATATTTGGCTTAGAAATGTAGCAAAGTGAAAGTAAAAAGTTGTAACAACTAGAAATACTCATGTTAAGTACAAATACAGGAAAACACCTACTTAAGTACAGTCCAAGTATTTGACCTTAGTTACTTTCCACCTCTGGTCGTGTTTTAACGCTGCAGTCGTGTTTTCTGTAATAAAGTCAGATCAACTAAAGATAATGTCTCTACATCTGATCATTAACATCACAAGTGATGATCTTATAGACCATGATGCATTGCTGCAGATTAAACTACCAAACGGGATGTAATGGAGTTAAAATGAGCTTAAACATCTGCAGCAGTAAAATGCAGCATTGATGCAGCAGGAATATTAATCCAGAAACATCAGATATAACAGAGAAACTCTGACAGGAACATTTTACTGCACTGTGAGTACTTTTACTGTCATACTGTAAGTACATGTTGCTGATAATACTCACATACTTTTACTGAAGGAAGGTTTGAATGCAGGACTTTTACTCGCAGTGGAGTATTTTCACAGAGTGGTATTAGTACTTTTACTGCAGTAAAGGCAGTTTACAGTGAGAATAAGCAGTAAAGTGTACAAACCTGCTTCAGGCTTGAAAACAGCGTCCAGTAGTTTGCGTTGTCCACAAAGTTCCTCCTCATTCTCCACTTTAGACATTTTTACTGATTCACAGCAGCTTTTCCTCCAGACTGTTTCCAGCTAGCAAGCTAAGCTAACTGCATTAGCTTCGTAGGACACCGGGAGATAATTCAGATGTTAAACATGTTCAGATAAAGGGAACAGCACAGAGTCTATTCAGACAGCTCTATCTGGACATTTGGACATTTGGGCTCCGTGAAAAATACAGTTTGGTCTCTATGGAAGCTGCTCCGACTGTGAGGCCGAGCTCCGGCTCCGGCTACTTCCTGCTGACAAGCTAACTTCCTTTAGCATTCTTGGCTAACAGGAGATGAGTCTGAGGTGAAACATCCCGAAAGTTTAAACAGAGTCCACTTAAACACGTTGATCCTCACATGCAGGCTCTGCTGCTGAACTCCGGCTGCATCTCACGGTAACGTGAAGGAAAAGTTAGCATGTTAGCCACCGGAAGTATAATTGCTTCCGGTACCACGTCTTTGCGGATTTTACCCACCTTTTACTTACAGGCTCGACATCGTTGTTAAGAATTAAAAATGGTAGAAAAACCCAGATCCTTTACTGAAGTAAATACATAAATACCACAAAGTAAAGTAAAAGTTAACAGGACAAAATGTCTGTGAAGGTTCTCAGTCATCCAGGTAATAATTATCTAAAGAAGATTAAAATCAAGGGCAGCTGGTTGAAGACACTAGAAGACGTTTCGTCCCTCATCTAAGACTTCTTCAATTCAGAATTGAATTAGATTAACATTCCTCGGATAAGAGTACAAAAGCATAACAACACATATTAATACAGACAAAGTAACAAAGTATAATTATGGGACCGTATAATATTCTTGTGTACACTGTCATATCTGATGGTATCATATTACTCTCACAGGGCTGAAAGTTCTCCGGCACTGAGCACTAGCCCTAACCCTCATCACCAAGTCTGTCTTCTACCACCTCATGAACATCTCCACACTTCGGCCTTCACTCTCATCCATTCCTTCGTCACCTCCCGCTTGGACTACTGCAGTGGTGTCCTGTATGGGGCATCCAGCAAGGTCCTGCACAGGTTGCAATATGTACAGAACTGGGCTGCCAGGGTTCTCACTCACACTTTGGCAGCACATCACCCCCATCATCACTCACCTTCACTGGCTCCCGGTCAAATTTCACATTACCTATAATTTGTAGATCTCTCAAGTAAAAGCAAAAAATACTGTTTAACAAACCTACGCAAGTAAAAGTATAAAAGTACATGGTTAACAAAGTACTCAAAGTACAAGTTACTGTCTGTTTTAATACTGTTTAATGTGTGCAGCTCAGAAATCTTCTCTTTTTAGAATAATAAGTGTTTCATCAGCAAGTCTTTTTTCTGGGGAATGCATTTTGCTATCCTTGTTGATTGTATCTAATTTAGCTATTTTTTATACAATTACATTCCTTCTTTTAAATTGCATGTGTCTTTTATTATGTTTTATTATGAAGCCAACCAACCCAATGCTTTATTTCATCACAATTAAATAAACATGTATGTTGACCATAAACAGCTGAAATAATTCCAGTCACAAAAAAAGACTTGTTTTTTAGATTTACTTGCTACTCAAGTAATTCTTCTGTAATAACTTTTGTATTCTTACTCAAGTAAATATTTTGATGACAGTCAATTGAGAATTAAAAAAATTTCAGCTAAATGATTAATGTAAATGATCAAATTATCATTAAAATATCGTGGAGATCATTTTTACATTGGGTTTTTCTTTGCTCTCCCTCCTCTTTGTTCAAAAGCCACTCAGGACTGATTCCTGAACATGTAACATTGAACTTACAGGTGTTCAGTTCCTGCTTTGACCACTTTCGGCCACTAGATGTCCTGTAAAACACAGACATGACATGTCGGTGACTGAAAACAAGAGTTTGATTCATTAAACTGCAAACTATCTGAACTGAGAGCAGACAAGGAATTATGTTATTAATACGTTACAGGCATGTAAGAAATAAACAGCATGTTCTCTTCAGAAATAATTCAGTTTAAATTTTAACTTTGTGCTCCACGGGTGAAGAGTAAGATCACTGCTACCTGTGTATTAACTGGAAAAGATTGAGTTACTGTGAGCAGAATCCCGCAAACATTTCCTACGTGAGTCTTTACATTCACTCATTTATTTTGTCTATTTTATTAGATGAGTTAATGAACATGATCATCAGGTTAGACTACAACCTTTTTTCTCATCTTTAGAAACACATGAAACAGCCAGAAACTGCTTGTTTCAGGTTCCAGTACATATATTTTACTTTATAATGATGATTTACAGTTGATGCAACAGATTATCTATAAATGGCTTATTGATCCATAACAATTTGTTTTCCAAATGATAAATCAACACACTTATTAAAGCATTAAACATGTCATTAGTAACTTCTAATGGTTTGCAAAACAAAAAAAGTTCACAACAGAAATCCACTGAAATTTAAAGTAAACCTGAAACCAAATGAAATATTTTTTATTCACCGCAAGATTTCCAATGAAAAGAAAACAGACTGTAATGAGCTGGTAGGAGGGAGATGTTCTGCATCATTTTTTTACAAATGATTTGTAGCTGATCAGTTTAAGAGTCAACTGTTCATGTTTTACACATAATGAGATAAATTCAAGACCAGGAGAGTCCATTCAATTAGAAATAAACTGTGCTGGTGGTGGGGCTGGACAATAAAACAACAACAACAATTGTCGCGATATATTTTTATTCAATAACAATATAACAAATATTCAATAAATGTTTGATTTTATTCACTTGAATCACTCATGAATTAGGACATCATTTTTTTATTTAATGTTTATTTTGTTGAAGGAAAAGGACTGAAAAAACTTTTACTTACTTTTACTCGTGCATATTTGTTGACAAAGATTTTATCGTAACCGTTTTGAATGTTCTGCCTTAGATTTCAGTTCAAGTCAAGTCATTTCATTTATAAATCACAATTTAGAACAACACGTTGACCGTAGGGCTGTACAGGTGACATAAAATACTTTTAGACCACTTTCTATATATTAATACATATAATACGAAACAGGACCCAGAAAAATACCAAAATATGTGACACAAATAAAAACTTATTTCTTAGCTGAAAATATGAAGTACGACTTATTTTGGAGTCTGTCACACAGTTTTGAACTGATCAGTGTCGAGCCAAGTTTTGCCCTCAGTACTTCAATCCTGTGTGAATGAATCGGCTCATCGAGCGTCTCTGCAGCTTCATTTACTTCTGTCAAATATACTCATGCAGCCCTTCATTCTGCCATTCGTCTGCTCAAGTAAACTCTATGCGTAGGTAACACGGCTTATTTTGGACTACAGGTATTATAAATTGCGGGCGTTGTGTCTCTCTCCATCACAGTGAAGAACTTTCACAACTTTCCCATTTGTGACTAACACCAGTTTCTTACTGTCAAAAATAGCGGCCGATCAAGCTTCAAACTGGCAGATCAATCGGTGCATCTCTAACAGAATTATTTCTCCCCTGTGTGGGTTCTCATGTGTTGTCTCAGACGTGACTTTTGTGTGAATCCTCTACCACAGACAGAACACCTGAAGGGTTTCTCCCCTGTGTGGACTCTCATGTGCTTGGACAAATTGCTTTTCTGACTGAAACTTGCCTTACAAACTGAGCATGTGAAAGGTTTTTCTCCTGTATGAACTCTTAAATGTGAGTTCAAGTGTGAACTTTCTATAAAACCTTTACCACAAACTGAACAACTGAATCGTTTCTCCCCTGTGTGGACAGCTAAGTGTCGTCTCAGATTTCCCTTATCTCCAAATCTTTTAGCACAGACTGAACAACTGAAGGGTTTCTCCCCTGTGTGGACTCTCATGTGCTTTACAACCTCTACTCTCCATGGAAAGGTTTTTTCACAAACTGAGCAGCTGAAACTTTTTCCTTCTGAATGAATTCTCATATGATTCAGTAAGGAGTTCTTACTGGGGTAACTTTTACCACAATCTGAACAACTAAAAGGTTTCTCCCCTGTGTGTGTTCTCATGTGCTTCACAAGATCTCCCGTCCATCGAAAATACTTATTACAAACTGAGCAGCTGAAACATTTTCTTTCTGAATGAATTCTCATATGATTCAATAAGGAGTTCTTACTGAAGTATCCTTTACCACAAACAGAACAACTGAAGGGTTTTTCCCCTGTGTGTGTTCTCATGTGCTTCACGAGATCTCCTGTCCATAGAAAAGTTTTTTTACAAACTAAGCAGGTGAAATGTTTCCCTTCTGAATGAAGCCTCATATGACTCCTTAAGGAGTTCTTATTGACATATCCTTTACCACAAACCGAGCAACTAAATTGTTTCTCCTCCGTTTGGACTCTGTTTTCTTCCTGCAGATGTTCTTTGTGACCAAAGCTTGTAGAACATTCAAAGGAGCTACTTGATGTTTTTCCAGTATTACATTCCACATCACTTACAGGTACTTCATAGTTTTGCAGAGGGTTTGAACCTGACTGAGGTTCTCTGGTCTCCTCCCAATCACAACTATCACCCGTCTCAGTCTCGTCATCAGTAGCTGGTTGTAAATGTGTATCCAGATCTGAATTCCTGGCTGGTTCTGGTCCTACACAGTCCTCTCCATCGGCTTCTGTTTTCAAATGCTCGGCATCCCTGTTCTCTTCAGTTTGATGAAGCTCTGAGGACTGAAAAACACCGCATCGATGATTTTTGAGCCGATAAGACCGAGTGAATCTTCTGCCACAAACACTGCAGATGTATCGTTTCTCTCCCGTGTGGAGCGCCATGTGTTGTGTCAGACTATCCCTTCGACTAAATGTTTTACTGCAAACTGAGCAACTAAATGGTTTATCTCCTGTGTGAAGTATCATGTGTCTTTTCAGCTTTGACTTATAGCGGAATCGTTTACCACACTCAGAGCAGCGCAATGATTTCTCACCAGTTTTACATTCACTGTTATTTTGCAGAGGGTTTGAACCTGACTGAAGTTCCTTTGTCTCCTTCCAATCACAACTCTCATCAGTCTCAGTTTCAGAGAAGACTGATGTCTTCTCATCAGTATCTGAATGTAAATGTGTGACTAGATCTGTGTTTCTGGCCGATTCTGGTCCTCCACAGTCCTCTCCATCAGCTTCTGTTTTCTGAGGTTTCCCTTCATCTTCTTCACTCTTCACAGGGACAGGAGTGAATGTTAACTTGGTGATATCAGCCTCCTCCAGTCCTTGAAGCTGCTCTCCCTCCTGACTGATCCAGACTTCCTCCTTTTCCTCTTTCATGTGTGGGGGCTCTGGTGGGTCCTCCTGGTCCAGACTGGGGCTCCACTCCTCTTTAATGTGTGGGGACTCTGGTGGGTCCTCCTGGTCCAGACACAAAGTCCATTCCTGCTGCTCAGGGGGAACCTCTTCTTTACTCAACAGCAGCCGAGTATCTGTGGGGAATATTGAAATACAT